CAGAGTTATCGTAAAGGATTAAAGACCACAAACACAATTGGCCTGGGATCATACAAGATGATCAATTAAGACAAACTATGAAGTTTATTTAGCTTCTTCTAGTTCATAGATACCTGGTGTTAGCTGTGTGGTCTGAGGAAAATTACTTCACCTCTCTGTGCCCCAGCTTCCTCATCTGTGTAATGAGCATACTGATAAGTTGTTCTGGGGATAAGGTGAGTTCATATATATAAAGTGCTCAGAACAGTACATAGTAAGTGAATCCGGTACATAGTGAGCACTATGTATGTTTTAACTAGTATAATTTGCTGTTTGTGTCGTGGTGGTGAAATCAAGGGGCAGGACACCTGGAATTTAGTCCTGGCCCTATGCTGGATGGATGTGCACGTCACTTCTCTGCCCTCAGTTTCCTTCTTGGTAAAATGTGGAAGGTGACTAGCCCACCCATCGAGCTCAGACATGATGGGATTGTACACCTAAACTCTACTGTAAGCTGTAAGAGCTGGAGAAGGCTTTCTGGCTGGTAGATACTTCTGAGCTTCTGATCTCTCATAGAGCTGTCAAGGCTTCCTTAATTGATTCACACCAAGAACCCTGCCTCTGTCTTAAGTTTTTCTGCAGGGCAGTTGATCTGTTTACTTTTCACCAGGATGAGTTCCCCTGTCAGCCCCATCAGAGCTGTTACAAGCCAGCTTCCTGGCAGGGATAGAGGGAAACACAGTGTTTTTATTTTTCTGCCTTGCTGTGCCTTCCTTCCTTTGGGACTCCTGCTGAGAAAGGTTAAAACAGAATCCTCCAACTGCCGTGATGAGAAATGCCAGCTGACTGAGGAAGCAGGACCCGTGAAAACACCAGCACCCGCCCCTGGGATGCCATGACTAGAGTCCTGTCAAGCCTGACTCATCCGCCAGCTTAGGGAAGTTCAGAGGTCACTCCCTTTCTGCCCCAGAGAGAGAGAGCACATCCTCGGCATCTTGAATGTTGTGGTTGGCGGGTGAAAGGAGAGACAGTAACTAAAGCATGACGGGAGCTATAAGAGAGGGCAAAGAAGCAGTGTAAGTCATTTTGCTTCAGCTTTTGTGACAAACCACAGGAACATGTACACCCCCCTTGCTTTTCTATGTTCTGTGCGGCTCTGGAGACAGGAAGAGTTACACCCCTTCCCCTAAAGGAGGGGACGCTTACTCTCTTTTCCCAATGCAAGGGAGTGTTAAAAAGGCTGCTTCCGCTTCCTTTCTTTGATTTGCTTCTGCCCCCTTGGCCTTTTTATGTGCTCCTCCCGAAAGGTAAAGGAGTGAGCCCGTGAGTGTCAGACTCAGGCACCCAGGGCTGTATTTACTACCAGGCAAAGTTATGAGCCTTCAAGTAGGGTCCCAGGGATCCGTCCCACTCTCCCTTTCTATGTTCAGACCCAGCAAGCTTTCTTCTGTTTCTTGCTCCAGGTAATAAATGGATGAGTGTCAGGATCAGTGAGGAGGGACTGGCAAGCAGAGAGAAAAGCGCCTGGTTGTAAGTAGCTGCTGATCAATTGACAGGTTTCTACAATGTGAGGTTCACAGCCCACGTCCTAAGTGCTTTTTCCAAATGACTGAATCATTGATTGCTTCCACTATCCACTAGAATACATGAGGTAGAACTTCATCCTACCTTGAATTAAAAGGAGGTTCTCATCACTCCTACCAAAGCTACATCGCACTGCTTGGCATTTCAGCCAGAAGGAACAAAGCTTTTCATTGACTTTATTTTGCAACGTACGCCACTACAACTAGTCTTAGCATCTCCAAGGTAGAAAAAAGTTCAACGAACTCCTACCGAATCCTCTTTAACATTCTCTTTTCAACTTTCTGTACTACATTTTTTTTAAGGTGGTCCTGCAGTTTCTATTTGAACATATCCAGCAATAAAACACTCTTTCTCAAATAGATTCTTTTGTTTTTGGACAGGTGGAACTAATGGTAAATGCTTTCTTTGTTGCTTCATTATGGCTTCTCAAAATTCTATTTCCCCCACTTCTGGAGTCAAAGTAAATTGAAATGCCTTTTCCTATGACAGCGTTTTAAGTACTTCAATGGTTCTTAGGCTAGTTTATGCTATCTCAGTGGCTGAAAACAACAGCGGTTTATTTCTTGTATAGACATATGTCCCTCAGGGTCATCTGGGGACACTGCTGTGCATCACCCTCATTTAGGGACTCAGGTTTGCTTTTAGCATCTATCAATTGAATGAACATATAATAACCAAAAAGTTAGTGTCAATTGAGTAATGATTTTAACTGAATTGTAATTGTGATCCTCCAGCTTTCTGGGATCAACCTTTCTTTTAAAATCTAAATAACGTATCTTGAATTCTAATTCATGTAATTGTAGAAATCAACCACCATTCCCAGTATGCCTGGGAAGTTCCACTCCTATGATTTATCTGTTAAGCTCTTCCTCTGCGGTCCGACTCCCACCCAGTTCTCAATCATGATGTGGGCCATCTCACATGTCTCACTGGTCTGCTTGTCCCAAAACATGGACACAGCCCCTCTCCTTTATTCTCCAAGTCACCGCCAGCATAATGCTGTTACTGATAACAGATTTCTTGGGGTCTCAGGGATAATGGCAGAGGGGAAGTAAAGTGGGTCATGGAGGAGAGAAATATGTAAATAACTGGCCTTGAAAATTAGACATCACAGTTGCCAGTTTCTTGCCTGCTTCTCACCTCCTCCCACACTCACGCTAAGCCCATCTTCAGCCCTCTGATGAATCCTGCCCTAATTTCTTCTCAACCTTCATCCCTAAACCCCACCTCGGTGTCTCTCATTACAAAGGGAAAGTTTGACTTCACCATTACTTTATTCAGCAGAGCAGTATAGCTCCCTTTATCTTAACCTCTTGCATTTTGATTCATTCTAATCCATTCTGTGTTATAATTAAAGGGCATATGAATACATTTTGGGAGCAAAAGAATCTACCAAAGACTCCACATTTAAAGAGAGAGCAAACACTGAGAAATTAGTTTTCCTTTAAGATGCCTCAAAGAAAAAAATATCTTTGCAAATGCTTTTGATTCAAACCAACCTCATATTAGAAAAACTTTAAAATACAGTAAGCATGGATTATAAAGGGTGAATTTGGGAATATTTAGGGAGTAAGATCATGGAAGACCTTGGAAGACCCATTAGCCTATATACATTTTGATTTTAAGTAGGAAATGAGCATGAGTAGTGGGTAATGGGCGGAGGGAGAGAACAGGGGAGGCATGAAGACCAGCACGGAGGCTGTCATAGTGATGCAGGTGAGACGGAGCCAGTGGCAATGCAGAGAAGTGCTGGAGTTAAGCCATATTTAGAAAATGGAATGGACAGGAGTTGGTGAGAGTGAGAGAGTGAAGGGAGAGAAGAATATTAGAAACGATGCCCAGTTTTTCCTTTGTAGCAACTGGATGAGTGTTGGTACAATTCACTGTGATAGAAAATAAATGAGTAGGAATAAATTTAGGGGGAAACTTATGTTTCATTTTGGACACGTTTAATTTTAGGTTTGTGGGGCATCACATGGGATCAGAGAAAAGATTTACAAGTCAGGTTTTCCAAATACGACTGTCCAATGGGATGTGCATCCTGAGGGAGAACCAGGCTGCCTCTTAGAGCCCCAATATTCCAGCGAAAAACACCTGAATAAAAGGTCCCCTTTGCTGCCTTGATCTTATGTGAGGTCTGGGACTTCCTTGCTGCAAATCACTGGTTTAAGATGTAAAATTGGGGGGGCCGGCCAAGTGGCGCGATGGGTAAGAACTCGCTTGGGATGCCAGAGGACCCCGGTTC